AAGGATATAATCTTAACACTACTTGTCATAAAACTACAGGCAATACAACTACATATTTTATAAAAGATATTTCCCTAACAAATAATAATTTTTCCAAGAATCTCATAAATAGTTCCTTCAAAGAGGTAATTGTTGATAATACAGTTACTGGAAACAAAAATGAGTCTGGTATGAATAACAATGACCTTAATGTAGCTCTCCACTTCGATAGTGAGGTTGATGCTCTTGCTGAAAAAAGAAACAAATTGCTCAAGAAACTTAAAACAAAAGAAAAAGTTCATAAAAAAAAAAAGATCTTTAGTGCAAACAATATCACTAAACCTATAAAAAATATTGATTTAATAAAAGATTTACCACAAAACCTATTAAACATTGATGAACAAATTATTGCTTTAGAATCTGGCTGGGATCTAGAATATGGTTCTAATTCTACAAAAGACGATGAGAAATCAGAAGATGAAAGTGGTGAAAACGAAAGTATTTTTTATTCAAAAGACTTCTACAAGGAGTTTGATCAAGTTGTTCAAAACAATACAGATGAAATTAAGGATGACGTTCAAAACAATGGTGAACCAAGAAATTTACCCAACAAAAAAAATAAAAAAAAAATATTAAATAACAGTTTGAAAATAAATAGTAGTGAGGAAAAAGAATTAACTGTTCAAACCTACAAACTAAACCAAATTGATATCAACAGAAAAAGCTTGCAGAAAAAAAAAAAAAAATCTTCAAATAAAGAAAGTAAAAAATCTTTTGAAAGTCTTGATAGTGTAAAAAATCTCAAAGTAAATTGGAATGAATACGTCAAGGGCAATCAGCAAAGTGTAGATAGTCAGTTAGTCAAAAGTTATGAAAATTTTAAAAATCAGAATCCTCAGAGTAGCAATTTGTTGATGTCTCAAAAAAATTCTCATCCAGAAGAATTATATCATCCTATATCAGCAGTCAATTATTTGCCAAATAGATTCCAAGAACCTGTTATTTCATTTGGAGTGACTTCTTATCCTACCCCAACTTATGAGTATCCAACAGTTAGTTATTCACCCTCTATTAGTACTTCCAAAAAGGTATAATTACTTTCCCAAAAAAAATTGAGGTTCAAATTATTTATAGAAAATGTTTATATAAAAATGTTTTTCTTATCTTTTTTAAGTTTGAAATATTAAACTATTAAAGCCAATCAAAAAGTTTGCTTTAGATTCCACCTTGGGCGATGGCAGTACCTGAGGGTAAAATAAAAGCATCTCGTGTTTGTAAACCTGGTCCAATGAAACCTGCTGTTGGAGGAAAACCTAATTGTTTAATAATTGGCGACTCTATTGCACTGGGGTAAGGAAAAAAAATCATTATATTATAACTTTTGTACTTTTTAATTCAAGTAGAAAGTGCAAAATTATTAATCTTGTCAAACAATGTTTAAATATTTAGGTACAGCTATTCTGTTGCCACTGCATTAAAAAATCTTTGTCAGGTGCAACTTACACCATCATCAAAAGCAGGAGTAGCTCTTGATTCTGCTTATGGTTTACAGTGTCTTGATATGTTTTTAGCAACAAGCGATTTAACGCCAACCTATTATGATGTTATTATATTTAACTTTGGTTTGCATGATATTGATTATCTAGAAAAATATCCTGAGGTATGATACTAGTATCGATTTTATATAAAATCTAAATTTTGATTTTACTTCAATATGTGCGTGATAGTACAGTCATTTAAATTATATTTTTAAAAATCATTTCTTTAGTTTATCAAAGTTGATTTTATAAACTCTGACAACCTAATGAAATAACCATACAAAAATCCAAACTATTTATTTGTTAATTTATGTTGTCATATACTATGTTTCATGTTTTTTCTTTTTTTTTATCCAAGGTTTATATAATTTGAATTATTAGGCACTTTCTAGATTCAATCAGATTTTAATATGTAAAAATGTTTAAACTTAAAATTATTTAATTCAAAAAAAAAAGTTAGCTTATTTAAATCCACTGAACTTTTTAATCAATTTGAAAAATTTCCTAATAATCTTATAAGTTCAATCCCCACCATGTCTCTGGTAGTAGCGAGCTCAACTTGTTTTTCCAACCAGAAGCATTTTTTATCAAGGTTTATGTTTCAGAGTCAAAGAGTTGAGAGAGTATTGTAATAACAATAAAGCAGACTTCTCAACTGCAATGGTCCAATGGTCAATAAAAGTACTCATTTTAGGCAGATGTTAAATGTACCAGGCTACTGTCTTGTAGAAGGTCTTACAGGCAAAGACTTTAGGGGTAAACAGATTTTATCTGTTGACCAGCTATGCACTCCCTTTTTATCTATTAGGCTAGAATAGATGTATTTATATGCATTGTTTCAAGTTTAGGATGTTGATTACTAAATCTTCTTGACTGATTGCATGGGTTTTGTTTATGTCTCTGTTTTTATAACTAGACAACTTATTCTATTATCTCTTAGTGAAGGTACAGCCCTGAAACTCAGTTTAATGTTTCTGAGGCTGGTGGTAGTCAGGTTTCTTCAACTCTGTGGTAGCTCTCAGAGAAGCTGATTCCTTCAAAATCTGTAATATCAGAATACTAATGGTTCCATGTCGCGCATGAATGGTGGTCCTGTTTGTAATTTCAATATGCATTGTTAAGGCATCATTTGGAGCCTTTTGTTATGACTTAGGGTTTATTGATAGTAATGAGTTAATTGCCTCTACTATTGGATAGTATACTGAGTACTATCTGTGCTTTAAATTGAAAAAAAAAAAAAAACCATCCTCATCACCAAGTTCTTTAAATCTTTCATTCAATAATATATGAGGTCTTTGAAGTAACTTTTCTTTATTTGAGTCATCTCTTTCAAAGTTCACCAGACCTACTTGCTCATTATGAGTCTAATTAGAAATCAGCTGTCTTATTTTGTGATCTTAGCGTTGATGGCTGTATTCCTTTAATTTCTTAAGACTCCAACAGTCACATGCTTGGCATTTACAACCATAAAAAATCAATAATCACAATCTACAGCTTAACTCTAATGTAAGTAACTCTCCTGGTGTTAAGTCCCTACAACTTTCGCCTTTCTCAATCTCTAACACAAATAGTCAACTTTACAAATCTCTTTCCAGGCAATCCGAATTACTTTCTATATTTAACTTATATCTTGTTTCTAATCCTATTCAGTTCTCAGTTTCTCCATATTACCCATGAGGTGCTTCTGATCACGATTTAATCTCTCAAAAACTATTATCTTATTCGTCTTCATCATCAGAATCACCCTATCATCATACTTCTTACAACTACCTTAAAGCTGACTGGGACTCTTTCTGTAAATTTCTTCGTGATGTTCTTGGGTAAAATTCTTTTTTCTTCCTACTGATAATTGTGATTCTCATGCAACTTCTTGGATTCAGGCTTGCATGGAATCTTTTATTCCTTCTTGACAATCCCAAGTTAAGCTTCACTCTTTTTCTCTCATTGTGCTGCAGCAATCATAATCATTACTTCCACATCATCAAAACAATTCTCAAAAAAAACAGACATCTGTTTACTATTGGTGTAAAATTGTTTTGTAAAATGCCTTAGCCTACTATTCTCAGGTCACAAAATCTCTTATTTCATCTCTAAAATTCTCCAGAGACTTTTGAAGAATCTTTAAAAGTGTCTTTAATATTGGCAACACAATTTAAAATATAAGTGCAAATCTGTTTCTCTTTTCTTAAATGGTTCAGATTTTGATACCTCACATAAAGACAAAGCTAAGTGTTTGCTAAAAAAGTTTCATCAAGCACATCTCTTGATTCCACTTTTCACATCCTACCTGATATAGCCAAAAAACAGGTTGATCCTATGTTTGACATTTGTATCATCCAGCTACTGTATCTAAAGTGATTAGACTCTTCTACAGCTTTCTTGCTTCTACAGATTTCCTGCTTAGACTCTTCTTCTGCTTAGACTCTTCTATAGCTTGTGGTCCAGACAACATACCTGTCTTGCAGACAACATACCTGTCTTGCAGACAACATACCTGTCTTGCAGAAGTGCTCTCTGGACCTGTCATCTATACTTTCAAAACTGTTAAACAAATGATTATAAGAGTCTTATTAGCCTGCTAGAAAGTGTTTGCTATCCCTTTTATTTTCATAAATTCTGGAGAGCTATCTGACTCTTGTAGCTAGCATCCCATTAGTCTTTTTACTATCATAAGCAAGGTTCTCTAGTCTTTAAATACTTCATCAACAACATTCTTTAAATAACTTAATCTCTTTTCTTGAATCAAATAACTTACAATCTGATCATCAATATATCTCAATCTTTTCTCAATCTTTTCTCAATCTGATCTCAATCTTTTCATTCTATTGCCTCTTTGTAAACCGTAATAAGTGGTAGGTTTAAATGTGCATTAGGTAGATAAAGTTTGGCATGCTGGTCTTCTCCATAAGCTCTCTTCTTACAGTGTATCAGGTAACATCATTAAGACTATTGAATCCTTCTTTACCAATCGGAGTATAAAAGTTGTTTTCCATGGAAAGCACTTTTCTTAATTTCCTGTAACTTCAGAGGTTCCTCAAGGTTCTATCCTTGGCCCTATACTTTTTAAAATTTATACTAACAATCACTCAGAAATTTTTATTTCTAAGGTGGCACTGTTTGCTGATGATACTACCATTTATTCTTGTCTTGATAAGAAGCCAATGCTCTCTGATTGCTTAGAGGGGGCATTTGAGCTTGAAAAGGATCTCACTTGTGCTACAACATGGGGCTCTTGGTGGCTGGTAAATTTTAACTCAGATAAAACTCAATTTGTTTTTTAGCTAATCTTTATCAAAACAATGAATGCTAGTTTTTAATAAATAGTAGATGTAAGCATAAAGTTATAGTATATTAGGTATTATAATTGTTTTTCTAGCCTTGGCTATCGAATTCTGCTAAATCTTATAATTTTGTCAGGGCTGGGTTTGCTATATTTTTAGCCAGGGCCAGGGCCCCACTCATTTACCTTCTGGGGAGAATCTTCAAATTTCAAAAAAAAAACTTCAAAAAAAAGTTATATATCTTTTAGTCATGGTGCAAAAATACATTTTAAATTTAACTTTTCTTTTCTATAAATACTATGATGGCCACTGCTCTAGTGAGCTAACGTCTCTTGTGCCATCAAATAAATTTCATTCTCGTGTTACTCTCCATTCAATCAAGTCTTATCATTGTACTGTGATTGATCCTAAATTCTTTATCATCTAGTTTTTTTCCTCAAACATCAGTTCTTTGGAATTCGCTCTCTTTATCTTGTTTACCTGATTCCTACAATCTTTTATGTTCTCTGTTAATTGTTTACTTACATTATAAACTTCATATTTTCTCTTCCAATAACTTCCAATTTTAATAGTGTTTTCTCATAGTCTTGTAGGAGGTGAAGATGTTTGAAAAATAATAATTATAATTAAATAACATAAATAAGTAAAAAATTGTTATTGTCTAAAACAAGTATGAGTTTGATGTTCTTATTTTTAATAAAACAAACAAAATGACTAGAATGTGAACTTAAGCTAATATTTAATGTTGGACTTAACAAGAAGTTGAAATTGCACATTTTAAAAATCATTTTTAAGTTATACAATTGATACTTTTATCACCATTCTAAAAGCTTTTGTTTTAATAATTAAAAACTTTTTAATGATGACAACTAACCTTAGGTTGCAGAGTATCATATTTATTTGCTAAGTGTGTATCTAATTTATCTAAACGTTTGTGAATCATTACCACTCTAACTTATTTTATGATTACCTCTCAACATAATGTTATTTGTTATATTAGATGCAGGTAATCTGCGATGCTTGAACTAGACTGAATAATGAATGCTCACAGAGAAATATGAAACATTTCTATTGAAAAAGACTTTTTATTTAAAGAAGTTTAAGTAATACAAAATAAAGAAAAACAAACATATATTTATATATTTATTTTAAGAAGATAAAGCTTATACACAAACCATAATCAACAGTAATACTATTATTAAAGTATACCTAAAAGAAAACACATAAGTAACTATAAATCTTCATTAAATACAAAAAGTTTAACTCTCTTTAAAACAAATACATATTTGAATAGTTAAAATGTATCAATAGTTAAAATGAAAAAGCATAAAATAATAGGAGATAAAAGATAAAGAAAAAAACATTATTATTTCTCCTTAGAATTGTGTTTGTTATTACCGGTGTTTTAAAGAGGCTCAGCACCCAAACCCCATGTGTATACTATCAGATGAATGTTATCGCCATTTATGCTTTAACCTGCAATTTACACCTGCTCCATACTGCAGTAAAAAAGGGCTTCACTACAAACAGCCAAAACCCTAACTTCACCCAAATTTGTTAAGCCCTAATATTTTAAAAGAAATAGTATGTATAGTGAGAGATGTGAATTCAATACCAAATACTATAACAAAATTTAAATAAATTAAATATATATACATGAAAATATTAAATAATAAAAATTATTTTATTCTAACAGAAAACCACAAAATACTCAACTATACTACCCAGGATCAGCCGATAATCAAAAAAAAAAAAGGAAGGTCAGTATCTACTTAAACAGCTCTGCCACATAGTGAAATCACAAGTTTAGAAATATATTAGGGTTAAGCGATTCTCAAACAGAAAGTTTGTAGTAATTTTAGATGGCTGCGTTATCAAGAAAAATCATTATAGCTATTGTATAAAGTGTCAAAGATAATCACCTCAACATCAAGCAGGTGATCTTTCTATTGGGGACTGGGAAAGAGAAGAATTTCTTAGCATTTCGATTAAACCCTGTTAGTATTTATTTTGGCATTGAAACAACTCTATCTCTAACTCTGGTGTGAACTGTCAAAGCAGAACATGCAGGGTTTTACAATCTGTGATCATACAAGGTGATTTGGAATTGTTTATCATTATAAATTTTGGTTTTTGCACATTAAAAATGTCATGCTGGATATTTTAATTCAGGATTTAATCTAAACTTTTTTTCAGGATATCACATGGTATGATTAAAGGTAATGCAGAATAGTAGAAAATGGATTGTGAAAGCTGGACAACATAGAAACATTAGACAATATTTTTAAATCCAAGTTTGATGTAGTACCTGATAAATGTAAAAAGAACTTATTTTAGTTTTAGTTTGAACATACCTTACAATGATCACATGAATGCCAACAAGAAAATATGTATTTTGTTGAAAGGAAGCGTATCTTCTAAAATCCATGCTCTAATTATCATGTCACCTAATTTTCTGAAATCAATGGCTGACAAATAGCCAAGAAGTTTTGGCTTTTGCTCAGAGCAGGCTTCTGAAACTGTTCAATATGACTTCAAACAGTTTTATAAGCAAAGAAACAAATTTCTAACTTGTCACAAATTGTATCAATTAAAACTACTGAAACCAGTTGTTGTTTAAAGTAGTAACCATGCACATTTCAAAACTTGATTATAGATTTTATTTTTTTAGAAGGCTCGCATGTTTTTTTTATAAATCTTTT